CGCGCCACCAACGCAGCGCCCTCGGTCTCGGCACCCGAGGTGTCCATCATGTAGATCTCCTTCGCGTCGTCCAAATCCGCCGTAGCGTCCGTGATCTGGTTTTCGTCCGAAATGACGTTCGCGTCCTCGCGGTGCTCGATGTCGTTGGTCGTGTCCGCCTCCTTCAGGTCGTGCTTCTCCGTGCAGTCATTCTCGTGGCGCTCGAGAGCCTCCTTGGTCGGTGCGTATATCGTCAGCAGCTTGCGCGCATGGGTCGGAATCCTCCGCCGCTTCGCCACTTGGCCCAGTCCTGACCAGTCGACCATGTCCTCGAGCTTCTCGTAGTACATGTCGTCCTCGCGTCGGTCGAGCTGCATGCGCATTGCACCCCAAATCCACGATGCAGTCCTCGAAGTATGCATAGCCTTCCCGCGCGAAGGGCTGGTCGGCAGGCCGATGCCGCCGAGGATACTTCGAGCGATAGCACACGCCCCTGCGACCCTTCAGCTCCACCCGTTGCTCGGAGATCACCTGCCCTGCCATGGGGCCCTCCGTCAACCGGCACTCGCCCGTCCGGAGCACGCAGCTCGCGTAATCGCCCGCGCGAACGTCCTGCTCGGTAAGACAGTCGGCGAGCATCTGCTCGGTGTTCACCCACTTGCTCACCACGTTGTTGAACTTTATGTCGTTCCTGGGCGACTCGATGTCGATGAGCAGCCGCTTCTCGGACGGGACCGCCCCTCGCTTCTGCGGCAGGTCGTAGAGCGAATTGCAGTCCATGACCTCCACCATCTTAATCTCCTTTACGTCGTCCATGTGGGTCCGGCAGCCCAGCCCGTGATGCGACTCCACCAAGTGCTGTCTCAGCATGTCGCCACTCTCGACTGCCTTCAGCGCTGCCATCGCCTCGGCTGCCAAGGTACTCCCTACCACTCGCGTGATGCGATGCGATCGCCACAACATCGGGGTAACCTTAGCCGGCTGCCCGTGTAGGAACTGATCGTCAGTGCTGTCCGCGAGCAAGATGACCAGGCCCGCCTGGCTAGCGGTCGTCGTCTTGCCAACGTTCCCGTGGCTCGAGTCCCCCACTGCAGCCGCAACCACGTTGTCCATGTCCAGCTTCCAGAAGGTTATGTCCACGTGGTCCGTCTGGGCGTCGCTCACGAGCTTGTTGTAATCTAGCAGGTCTTGTGCCTTCAAGTCACTGTCGCGAGCCCGAGCTTGGCTTTCCACCAGCCGGAACGCCAAAACCATCCTCGTAGAACGGACCAGCCACTTGATCTGGCCGTTGCCACTGTGGAGCATAGCCCTTGCCTCCGCCGTGGCCTTTGCCTCCTTGGTCTTGCGACGCTCGGCCGAGGTGGGTATATTCTCGATGCTCTCCGTGTATTCCTTCTTGCTGCATATGATCGCGCCGTCGTCGTTCTGCTCGGGGAAGCGCCCGCAGCGGTGGAAACCGGCCTTCGCCGTCTGCCACTTCCCGCAGCAGTGCACCTTCCTCAGCTTGGCCACCTGGTTCGCGAAGAACTCGGGCGATCCCGCGACGATGTCATCGTCGACGCGCGCCCCGATCAGGCCGATTAGCTCCGCCCTCTCGTCGTGGAAGATGAAGAGGGCCGGGCGCAGCTTTGATCTCGAAGCCCCGGGAAGCGACAGGATGGCACCGCGATGCTGCTCGTGCCACAACAGGGGTGCATCGTTCGGCCCGTAGATGCCCTTCTTCGCCTTCAGGACAGTCCCTTCTGGGACGAAAGGCCATCCCAGCTCCAGCACCGCAGGCGTGCCGCCTTTGGGAACATTGAAGTAGACGCGCCTGGAGCTGTCGAGATATCTCCCATTCAGAAATGCCGAATCTACGTCGCCCTGCTCGAGGCTCCACCCAGGCTGGCTGGCAGCTTCCTGGATGATCACCGCCGTGGCCGCGTCCGTGAGCGTCGGCGCGTTCGTCTGCAACTCGCCCGCGAGCAACTGCTTGTCCTTGTAGCCCGGGGCGATGTTCCGTGACTTCGCCCTCAGCGAAAGTTGTTCGCACGAGAGACTTCCTCTCGCAGGTTCATTCTTGTCGGCGCGGACGCGCCTCATGGGCAAGATATCCGCCTTCTCGACGCCCGCGATCTCCTCTTCACTCGGCTACTCCACAGCGTCATACTGAATCCACTTACGCCACTCTTCCAGGTCACTCGCCTCGAATGCCGTCTTCCATTCTGGCGGGATGCTGCGTTGTTCCCGACCTTTCCTCGGTGCGACCTGCTTATTCGCGGTGTCAGTCCCCCTGGCCACGAATGCGTCCGTCGAGCGATTCTTCACCTTGAGGTACAGCACTTTGTCGTCGATCTCGTCGTCCTCAATCTTCGGGGGGCGACTCTGCTTGAGCGCCTCGCGACGTACATGGAGGCGTCCGCGATCTGATCCGCAGTCGTCAGGTTCTATAGTGATCGCTTGTGCAGGGACTGTCGAGAACCAGGCTGTGGTGCAGGTTATGGCTGTCCTTCTTGCTCAGGCTGTTGCTGCGGATCGCCTGGCACAGCAGCCGCGTGCAGGTCCGTGGCGCGCCCCTGCCCAGCTGCATCAAGCACAGGTGGGTCATTAACCGTAACATCTTGCATGTCGTCTCCATCTCCGGGTGTATCTTCAAGTCTAACGTTCTGCATGTCACATCCATCTCCAGGTAGTGGTGGTACTTCGGGTAGCGCTCCAGGTTCAGGGGCGTCTTCCTCCTTGATATGCTTCTCTCGCTTGAGAGTATCCTCAGACCTCCTCGGGGGAGGCGGTGGAGCTTCCTCTGCCCGTGGCGTTTTGGTAGCCGGTGCGTCGCCCGCGGCGCCCTCGTTGTCCGAGTCGCCGTCGTCCTTCTTGCGACGCCTGTCGCGCTGGCCACCGCTCCCGTCAGGCCCAGGCCCACGCTCGTCCACGAAGCCCTTCTGGAGGGTAGGTCCTCCGCGCCACTGCGACGGTTGCCTGGCGAGGTCCTCGTTCCCCACCATCTCGGCTTCGCCGCGAGAGGCATGGCGCACCTGCTCAGGCGTCGCGAGCACCGGCGCCCCGCGGTAGCTGAGGTGCAGCCTTGCGTGGCCCTCGGCCGCCAGCGCGATGGCCGGGCCGCGCCGCCCGTGCTCGCCCTGGAGCCGCTTCGACTTCTTGTGCTTCACCTCGCGCAAGTAGAACACCAGCTGGCCTGGCACGAACGGCCCGCGCGGCGGGCGAACCCGACCAACCGTGGCTCTTCTCACTGCGTTGTCGCTGTCCAGCTCGAAGAACGCCAGGTTCGCCGCGGCGCGAACCTGCCTCTTGGGACCGCCCTCGAACAGTGCCGCGCTCTGCGCCGCCAGCTGCCTCCGATCGCCCTCCAGCGCCTCGATCAGCGAGACCGGGACAGTAGGTGATCGTCCCAATACATACTGGTAGGGCGCGAAACCACTATTCCGTCGGATGCGGTTATTGCGCGTGCTCTCTATCACCGAAGTCCACGCGGATGGGTCGTCGCTCTTGGCGAGCTACACATCGCGGTTCAGGCGCTGGAAATGGTCCTTGAAGAAGTCGATCGCCAGTTCCACTCTGCCTTTGAGGTGAGGCGCCTCTGCTGGGGCCAGCCTCATCAGGATGGTGTACTTCTCGCCGATCTCCGCGAACCGCTGCGCGAAATGGCCCTTCGCTGCGTCGTAGAATAATACCTCCGGAGGGCCAGCCCATGATAGCATGGATGGCAGCGAAGGCTCTCCCCACCCGCGATGGATCGCACTGCCGCAGTAGGTATGATGACCCCGAAGCTCGACGCGTCATCCAAGATCACCATCGCCATCAACCGTCCCTTGTCTGAGAGAATCGCATCGGCTTCGTCCAGAAACACATTCTCGTTGAACTCTGTCGAGAGCTTCAGGTTGGCCGACCACGTCGTGTTGGGCCTCCCGAGAGCTCCTTGCACGCGTCACAATCCAACTTGCCCGCCGCGTCGAGTACCTTCTGCGACACCCCGCAGGACTTCAGGCGTCAGCGCGTGTGCCGACGGGTGGCGCAGGTCCAGGTGGCGCTTCCTCAGGGCGCCCAACTGAGCCGCGGTGATGTCCGAAGGTTTGTCGCCAAAGCTCTCACCATCGCGATGTAGGTCTCGATGTACTGCGTCTGCTTCACGATCGTCGGGCTTGAATGCCTCTGGTCGGCTGCCAAGTAAGGGTGCCGTCGCGGGGGGGGGGGGGGGGGGGATGTCTGCACGTTCGGCTCCTTCACATAGATCGAGACCACCGCGTCGGTTGGATACCTTGCGGCCAGCTCGACCGTCGTGAAATGCGGGTCGTCCGCGTAGGCGTCCGAGAAGTCGGCCAGCGCGCCCTTGTCGGTACACATGGCGTAGATGCGCCGAACAGCTCCGCGAGGCACAAGAATGGCCTCGCTCTGCCTCAGCGCGCGTACGCCGATCAGGTCCTTCCTCAGCTTGAACTCCTTGGCCACCGTGCGCATGGTCCTCTGATCCGGGACCTTCGTCGCGTCGTCTCCAATGCCCAACTTCTTCAGGTCGGTGCGCCGCGCGAGCCGTTGAGTGCCGGCGCTCACCAGAATCTTGCCAAGGTCGTCCGGCCAGGCGCTGGCCCGCGAGAGCAGCGCGCCTCGTCCGACCATGTCGGCATGCTCGTGGCGCTGGTCACACTTGCGATCGAGCCACCACGGGGAGCACGAACCATTGGGTACCAGCATACGCGTGGCCTTCCGGATCGGCATCCCGTAGTCATCCGTGAGTGCAAACATGCACTGGCGTAGCGCAACCGTCTCGTACAATGGAGGTCGCTCACCGCGCCAACGCAACATATCCATGATCGGCTCCTCGTTCCAAGCACGGCTCGTGATATGGTTCTCGCCGATGCCGACGCGTCCACCTTCAGCCTGAGTCCGAAGCACCTTAGCCGAGAAGTTAACCAGCGGCCTGAACTCCTCGATGAGGTCGCCCACCTGGTCGCCCATGCCCTGAGCTCGCTGAAACTCCTGCACGTTCGAGAAAGGTGCGCATTGGAACGCCACCGAGACAATCCAGGGCTCGAAGGTCTTTATCAGGAACAAGAAATCCGACTGGGTCTGGGGTCTGGGGGTCGTGGAAACAAAAAAAAAAAAAAAAAAAAAACGCGACCGACAAATCCGAGGGGGTCGCGTTCGCATGACCACCATTCGAGGCTACGCGAGTAAAACGAGCCTCCTTCGCAAACAGCCCCAACAGGAAGGTCTCCTGGTTGTTCCGCAGTACGTCGAAGATGATAGAATAGTTCTTCATCCACTTGTCGATCCGTTTGAGCGCGCCCTTCTTGAATATGCCATTGCTGCCGTTCTTCGGAGCCTCCGCGACCCGCGAGTCGGCGCGCCCCTTCACCTGGAAGCCCGGCTCGTACTCCTGCGGCGTCTCCGCGACCAGGAACGCGCCCGGCTCGAGCTGCATCTCGCCCGCGCGGAACCTCTCGAAGAGAGGCTCCGACTCGTGCGACTCAAGGTCGCTGTCGAAGAGGTCGAGCCCAACATGCCCACCAGGCAGCTTCAGCTCCTTGCCGTGCACCCCAAGCTCCTGGAAGTCCGCCCAGCGGCCGTCCTCGCGCAAGTAGAGGTTCGTCTTCCACTCGGCGAGGTCCCCCCTGCTCGTCAGGCCGACCATGTCGCCGGGGATCTCGAAATACTCCAGCAGCGTGTGCTTCTTCCCGATGCCCAGCAGGATGACCCACTTCTGCTTTGACTCACGTCGTGCTCCACCGAGCCCCCTGAACTTCTGGCGCGCCTCCACCTTGCCGGGCTTGAGACAGTGCTTTGTTAGCTCTGCCTCGACGCGATCAAGCCATCCGCGTCCTGCGAGTGCGCTGCCCACTAGGGGCGCCGGCACGACGTCGCTGGAGATCATCACCTCGAACTCGGGCCTGTCCGGTACGATTGGGTCGGTGTCCAGGTTCACCATCATGATATCGTTATCCTTCTCGGGCTGCATGTGGATGTAGTTCGCGTTCGGGTGTCGCACCTGGTGTCCAACGTCCACGCATGACGGTGCTGCACACGCCAGAGCGCTCACTGCCCAGAATCCATGCCGTCGTGGACGAGGGGCTGACTTCGATCCATTGCCGCGGCCCTTGCCCTTAGCTGGCTTCCCCGATTGCCCGTTGGCCAGGCACTCCGATGCGCTGTGGTCCATCCGACCGCACCTGTTGCAGCGCTTGTACTTCGACTTGCCGCCATCCTTGCCCTTTCCTTTGCCTTTCCCGGAGCTCTTGCCTCCCGCGTGACCGCTGGCTGCCGCGCTCTCGTCCACGACGCCGTCGACCCTTTCCTCGAAGAGTCCCCTTGCCGCCCGTAGTTTGCTCATCTCGATGCAGCTCTCTCGCATCGCGACAAGGGCCCGGTGGTAATCGTCGTCTTCTCCAGCCAAAAACACGTCAGCTTCGAGGTAGAACAGGTGGCTGATGTCCCTGTCGCCTTCCTCGTCCTCGTCCGTGCACGCGTGGACTCCGTCATCGTCGTCCCGCTCGTGCCAGTGCCCGTCGTCGGCCTGGACCCAGTACTCACCGTTGTGCTGGTCCTCTCCATTAGCTCGTCCAGTCTCGGTGTCGTCCGCGTGCATTGTCCACCTCCAGCCCGCCCTGTTGCCTCGCCCATCGGTGCCTACTTCCGCCGCGAGGGAATACATTCTTCAACGTTGCCGAGATCTTCGCGAAATTTAGCGTCTCGTCCGCCCTCGCCATCACCAGGTCGCGCTCGTCCATGTCCAAACCGCTGCGCTTCAGCGCGTGGTACCCGAGCTCATTCGAACTGATCTTCGTGTCCGGGTTCACCTCCTCTAGGAGCCGCCTCGCCACCTCCATGGCCGTGCAGAACGCTGCCATGGGCTCCTCGCCTTTCCTTTCGAAATGCGCGAGGTCGGAGAACGCGCCGAAAGCCTTCGGCAGCTTACGGAAACTGTTCTTCGCGAAGCGCTCGGTCTCTAGAAACTTGAGCACATTCGCTCCATCCTCCACGGCGTAGTCTTTCGGGTCAGCACGCTGGGCGTCAGACAACTCGATCAGCACGCTGATCGAGTTGTCCGCGCCGAGGAGGTTCGGATGCAGCGTCAGGCCTAAGGCGGTGCGTTGTTCCTTCGACTCGCATCCTAGCTCCGCCGCCTGCACAGCCCTCTTGTACCTGGTGAAATCCTTCAGGGTCTCGCCCCTCAGCACTGGGAACTCGGGATCCACTGAACTGTTGAAGCTGTCTCCGCTTGCCATGGCTCGTCGGGATGGCTAGTCCCAGCAATCTCTCCTGGAGTCCGTGGGGCCAACCACGGAGCTCCGCTACCAACCTCGTTCTCGCTCGTGCTCTCTCCCGCGATCAGCCTCAACGTGTCGTGGGGGTCGCAGCTCGGCGTGCTCGACCGAATCGACCGATACCTTGCTTTCGCTGCCAGTCTCCCACTGCAGCTGCTCTGGGGAACAGGAGCTCCTTTTGTTTGGGCCCAAACGCCGGCGTTACAGATACACCCCACGAAAATGTGCAAGGGCTTGTTGGGGCCTTAAGAGGCCTCCTGTGATCTGGGGGCCTCTTGGGGGTTCCCCGGGCCACCCTGCTTCCAACCGCAGTCTCCCTGGACGACCAGGTCTCGATATGGAAAATTCGGGCGGCGCCTTGGGGGCATCTTGGGCCGTCATGGGACTCTGTTCGGGCCATATTGGGGCCCTGTTGGGCCGTCTTGGGGCTCCTCTTGGACTGCCTGGAAGCCCTCTTGAAAGAAGGTCGGGGCAATTCTCTGGTTTCCTGGGCGGTCTCGGACGCCCAAATGACCGAAGAACGGAGCATCCCCAACATAATACAAAAGCAATCGGGAATTAATATGCTATGCTTTTCGAATGCCCGAAATGCCTCTTGGGGGTCTTCTTTGGGTCGTGTTCGGGCGTCTGGTGGGTGCCTGGGGCCTCTGTGGGCTCCCGCGGAGCCGTTCGGCCGCCCTCCTGACCGATCTGCGCGGGGTCTCAGGAGCCCCGGAGAGCACAGGGGACCGTGTGCAAGGGCGTCCAGGGTGCCCGCGGGGCCAAGGATCCGGGGGCGGGGGTCGGGGCCGCAGGGTCCCAGATCATAAAAGTATAGAATAAGGGATCATGTCGATGACAATTCGCATCGCCGGCATCAATGTCGATGCCAATGCGCATCGCCGACATAACGCGATGCCGAGCAACTCCGATTCCACACTTGACTCCTCGTCCTTCTCTTCCCGCTTTCCTCCTCCTCCCCTCCACATGATATTTCCCCCTTCCCACTTACCCGCCTTTTCTCCCCATTCGTCCTTCCCCGATCTATCATCGTCCTCTCCGTCCCCATCGTCGTCGTCGTCCTTCTCCTCGACCAGCACATCAATTCCCTCGTACTCCTTTCCTCCTCCTCCTCCATCATAGCCGCGACCCTGGACGATTACATCCACATGCTACACCCTCCTCCTAACCATCCATCTTTCTTGTCCTCCTGCCCCTCCTCCCCTCCTGCTGGTCCTCCTCAAAGTCCTGCCCTAATGTGTTGCCGCTGTCTTCAAACAACTCGTTCTCGTTTTTCTTATCTTCCGTCTCCTCCTCGCTTATTCCTGCTTCCTCGCTCCCCGCTTCTGCCACTCCTCCTGGTCATCCTCATCCTCGCCCTCATATGATCTTCACGTTCCCCCTTCTCTTCATGCCCCCTCGTCCTCTCCATGCTCCCCCTCCTCTCCCTGATCGTGCCTCTCCGACCGCCCCTTCTCCGCCACTTCCTACTCCTCCTTATCCGCATCCTTTACCTTCTCCTCCCCCTCGCAATCCACTCCCTGCTTCTCCTTCTCCCCCTCCACCGCCTCATCCAACCGCTCCCCTCCTCTCCATGCCATCCCTCTTCCCCCACGTCCTCCTCGCTCTCTCACGCCCCTCGCCTGCCCCTCCTGGCCCCCTCTTGCCAGGTTGGCTGTCTCACGGCTGGCCCGACGACGAGCCCGGCGGGCGCACGCCTCCACATCCAGGCACACCCAGAGAACAGTGCGGAGCTGGCCGCTTCCACCCCGAGTCTACGGACAGGGGGTATCCTGCAGCTGCCTCGGGCGCAAGCCCTGAGCCCTCGGCGCGCTCTCGGGGGCTGCCCGCTGTCACGGACGCTCCCCCCCGGCGCTCCCCGAGAGCCCTGGGCTCCCTGAGCTCCTGTGCAGCACAGCGCCATGGTGTATTAGGACGTGCTGTGGTACGCGAAGGCCTGCTGTGCGATGCTGTGCCACGCCATGCCGTGCTGCGATGTCCCTGCGCTCTATGAGGACAATTGGTTCCGCGGCGGCTCCGTGTGAACTTCCTCGCGAGGTGCGGGGAGGCTGGTCGGAAGATGACACCTGGGAAACATGCAATCGCTTCCGCCTGGTCATGCAAAGCTCCATGTAATAATACCCGCCACGTATTGAGGGCATAACAAATGTAGTCCATTGGCAGAACCAGCGCTACTGGCTCTGACGACAATGCGTCGTGCATTCTGCTGGTTCACGTCGGCACAAGCAATCACATGAGATGCCACATCTGCGCACGGCTACCAGCTCACCCGCCCACTCCCCTTGAAACACCCTTGGAACCAAATGGAGCCTCAGAGCTTGGATGGCCTGAGAATCCCTTCATAGAGAAATCTCACCCGTGGAGCCTCGAACAAATATCGGACATGTGTACATCCCGTGGGCGCCCCTGCCAACGGAGGCATGACCTGAACGTTCGGGAGGCTAGAACGAAGCTGGGATCTCAGCGCAGAGGGAAGACTGACCATCCACACAGGAAGTGCCCCGACGAGCGAAGCTGTGTAGCGAGCGCACGAAAGGACGGGATCGGGCAGAGCATGGTTCGTCAGTAAACGCCCAGGGCAGTTTGATAAATGCCTGTTATGGGCGCTTGGACGGTTTTCCTGCCTTCAAACGGAGATCTGGCTGACAAGACTCGCCTCGAGAAACGACCCCCGAGCCGCGACGCCTGGCAGGAAGCCTGCCCGCGACGCGCGCTCAGATTATCCCGACTCCCAAGCCCAGCCAGCGCAGGGCTCAAGCCTCCAGTCCTGCAGACTTTGTCGAAGGAGGAGGGGGGAGAGGCGGGTGACTGAAATGTGGCGTGCCCCCGCCCCTCTACGGGCTATCCTCGCCATCGATGAAGCGGAGCGTCAGCACGCCGTCCGTGTCGTTCAGGACCAGGGCGACGAACCACGCGCGCGCCGAGTTGGAGTAAACCTTCAGGCGGGCAAGCGGATGGCATTCGAGACAGGGGATGCGGTCCAGGTCGGGCCCCAGTGGTGAACAAACATATCGAGGCCATGTTTCTGTCCGCTGGAGGAGCCACAGAGTCGGCGAGTGGAGCCTCGCGGCCCAGCCCCTCGCCATTGGCGGCCGCCAGCGGCAGCTGCGGGGGCCCGGGAGAGAAGCAAAAACAGACGACAGCGAGGCTGAAGCAGTCTGCCGCGTGCATGTGCACGGGAGTATCGGAAGCTTCTGAAGAAACTTCTCGGAAGAGGCTGCAGAAACGCTGGGCCAGTGGGTGTTTACCCTAACTTGGCCCTCAGGCCGGCCTGCGCGGGTTGCAAGCAGGTCGCGAGCAGACAGTGACATGAGTTGCCACGACGGCTGTAGAAGCTGCAAACCGATCGAACACCGATGCCTCGACACTAAGAGATGTTAGTGACATCGGCACCGGGGCGGGCGAGGGGAATGATACCGTGGCGCGAACCGCGTCGATATAGTAGTCAGTCAAGCCAGGCGATGCACTAAACAAAGATGTTCAGACTACTGCCCTCAGCGTGCCCCGAAGATGGAGGTACTCCTTCGCATCAGTCTTGGTCTTCAGGTACATCTGGTACCCCAAGCGCGAGCCCCAAAAATCCTGCACGTCCTCGTCTCCCGTCGCAGTTTTCGTCACGAAGCGCGTCCTCCTTGCCGCGACTTCGGCCGGCCCATCCTTTGCCCTCGTTGCGGTCTCCAGGACGGCTGCCCCCGCCTGTGCTCTAGCTGCATCCACGTTGCCGCTCTCTTCCCCCTGCAGCTTGTTCATGGCGCGCTGCTCATCGTACTCTTCGTTTCCTGCACTTTCCCTCGGCTGATCGACCACCTCGATCGCGTATGTTTCCCCGGCACCTGGAGGCGCAATGAAGTTCGGAGAGGGGCCCGTTGAGAGAACGGCGGCTCTCCCGCCTGGCCCACATTCACCCAACGTCGTTTCCCGGACCCCATCCTCGGGTCCATCCTGACCCGCTTTGCGACGCGGATCCAGCCGTGGCGGCGAGAAGCTGGCACAACCCCCCAGAGAGACGAACAACACCAGGGAAGGCCGCCGCCGTCTCGACCGGCCCTCCTCCGAGAAGTAGTGCCGCTTGAAGTAGACGACCGGCTTGCCCTGTGCTCCAGGGCCACGCGCGAATCCTTTGGACGCCCGAAATAGGTACGGAAGAAATGGGTACAGTGCCCAGCAACACATGTTGTCCCGAACCAACAGCGGCCGCTGTTGGGCAGGCGGCCTTCTGTCTCGAATGGACACAGGCCGCGGCGGCGTGGACAGCGAATCCTGTTGAAAAGGAACAGAAACTGCTGTTGGGCATTGTACCCATTCTTTCCGTACCCATTTCGGGCGTCACGAAATCCAGGCTGCCCCTCCGCGTGTTCGCCGGCCGCGTCCATCACAAGCTCGGGGCCGCCGTTGTGCCTGCCGCGGTCCGTCACGTCCCCCGTGCAGAACTCGGCGACGGAGAATCGGAGCAGAGCCCATCGAGACAACGGCGGTCCTCCCTGGCGTTTTTTGTTGTCCTTTTTGGGGTATGCTGGCGGCTTGTCGTCGCCACGGCTGGATCCGCCTCGAAAGCCACGTCAGGATGGACCCCAGGAGGGGTCCTGGGACCGACTCTGACCAGATGGGCGGGAGAGCCGCCAACGTCTCAACTGGCATTCCTCCGAGAAAAGGGGTGCACAAAGTTCCCGACAACCTTCGGCCCACCACAAGTTTTCGGGCCGGTCTTCGCAATAGATGTGTCGTCTGCAGCTGCTAAATCCGGCAGCACGAACTTGAGGAAGCCTGTCTCGGAATGCATGGGCGCCTCCAATGGAGACATGCCCTTCTTCCAAGTTTTCTGGGTAAGGGAATACAGTTTGTCGACCTTGATCGCCCGGATTTCAAGAAACTCCTCGTACTCCGCCTTCACGATGCCATCCGCATTCAGAACCTGCCCCGTCCCCTCCCACCTCCCCACGAAAAAAGGCCTCAGGAATCGCGCCTCGACACCACCAGCGTTAGAGATGACATTGCGCATGCTATGTTCTGTCACAAAGGCTCTTCGGACCAACACCAAAATGAACCAAAATGCCTTGAACCGAACTGGCTGCGGAATTTCCATCGCTCTGGAAGCCGCCTCGAAGAGAGAAATACGACTCTTGTGGCGTGTGCATATACTGGTGCAGGAAACAATTCCAGGATATTAAAAAATTCAAAGGGCTCACAGGATGGGCCAGGATGGAAAGAGCCGGAGCGAATCGCAAAGAACAACACGCTTGACAGAGCGTGCGTTGTGGTCGCTTGCACTGGAGAGGGGTGTTAGGGCCCCCTGGAGAAGGGGGTGTTACGAGACCTCCCTCCCGTCCTCCACCGGTGCAGGGAAGGAACGGTGATTGTCGCACCCACTCTCTCCTCATTCGCTCCGGCTACGACAACAACAGTGAACGACGACGACGACGACAACGATGGACGACGGCAACGCCGTCGACGACAACGACGACGACGCGCGACGACGCGCAACGACGACGACGGCAATGGACGATGACGACAGCAGACGACGATGAACGACGACAATGGACGGCGACGATGACGATGGATGATGACAACGACGATAGCCGACGACAAAGATGATAAAACGACGACGACATTGGACGACGACGACGATGACGACGATGGACGACGATGACAGCGACGACGACGACGGGCGATGACGACGGCAGCGATTAACGATGAAGACGAAGGACGACGACGAGGATGACGACGATGGACGACGACGACGATGGAGGACGACGAGGACGACGACGATGGTCGACGACGACGACGACGATGGACGACGACGACGACGATGGACGATGACGACGACGACGACGATAGACCACGACGACCACGCTGATGAACGACGACAACGACGACAGCGATGGACGACGACGACGACGATCATGACGACGATGGACGACGATGATGACGACGACGACGGGCGACGCCGATGTCAGCGATGGACGACGACGACGACGAAAAACGACTACGACGACGACGAAGGACGACCACGACGACGACGATGGACGACGTCGAGGACGACGTCGATTGTCGACGACTATGACGACGACGAAGCCGACGTCGACGATAGACCGCAACGACTGTGACGGCGATGAACGACGACGACGGCGACGAAGCCGACGGCGACGATGACGACAATGGAATACGATAATGACGACGGCGATAGACGACGACGACAGCGACAAACGACGACGACGATGGACGACGACGACGATGGACGACGACAATGACGACGACAACGACGACGATGGACATCGACGACGGCGATGGACGAGGCCGACGAAGACGATAGCCCACGACGACGACGATGGAAGACGACGACGGAGATGGACGACGACGACGATGACGACGACTATGACGACGACGACGACGACGACGACGATGGACATCGACGACGGCGATGGACGACGACGCCGACGAAGACGATAGCCCACGACGACGACGATGAAGACGACGACGGAGATGGACGACGACGACGATGACGACGACGATGAACGATGACGACGACGATGCGACGATGGACGACGACGACGACGGGCGACAACGAAGACGACAGCAATGGCCGACGACGAAGACGACGATGGAAGACGACGATGACGACGATGGACGACGACAGGGATGACGACGATGGTCGCTGACGGCGACGAGAAAGGACGACGACGACGATTGACGACGACGACGACGACGACGACGACGACGACGACGACGACGGCGATGGACGCCGACGACCATCGGCGACGACTGACGACGACGACGACGACGACGACGGAGATAATGGACGACGAAGTCGACGACGATGGACGTCGACGACGAGGATGGACGCCGAACGACGACGACGACGGCGATGGTCGACGACGGCAACGACGATGGACAACGACAACGACGATGGACGACGACGACGACGACGATGGACGACGACGACGACGACGACGACGGCGATGAACGACGACGACGACGTCGATGGCGACGACGACGACAGCGACGACCACGACAACGATGGACGGCGACATCGACATCGACGACAACAATGACGACGATGATGGACGACGACGACGACGGCGACGACGAGCGAGTGCGACGACGGCGATCGAGGACGACGGACGACGACGACCAGGGACGGCGATGGACGACGACTACGACGACGCCGACGACGACGACTACGCCGGATGACGATGGACGCTGACGACGACGATGGACGATGACGACGAAGACCACGACGACGACTACGAAGACCACGACGACGACGACGACGACGACGACGACGACTACGATGGAAGACGACGACGACGACGATGTAGGACGACAACGACGACAACGACGATGACGACGACAACGACGACGACGACGATGGACCACAACGGTGATGACAGCGACGATGACGTGGACGACGACGACGACGACTGGCGCGCCGCCGTCATGGTCGTCTTCGTCCGCGGGGGGGGGGGGGCGGATGTCGTAACCCCAATGCCCCCCTGCACCAGGCGGGTTTTGACCATCACCAACACCAGGGGGTTGCCTCCACCAGGGAAGGATGATCCTAGAATTCGGTGTTGGTGGTAATCTGTGGGCCGTCTAGGAAGCCAGAACATTACCACCGTCACCGAGATTGGGATATTCTTCCCTCGGTGGAGGCACAACGCCGATATTGGTGTTGGTGTCAATCTCTAGGCCTCCGACGACAGTCGTAACCCCAATGCACCCCTGCACCAGGCGGGTTGGGAGGGTGGGTTTGGTATTCACCCCCTCCCCCCCTTGCGAAAAGGGGGTTCGGCTGGCAGGTCACGAGGTGAGGGCGGGGAGGGGTCCCAGTTTCGGCCCCCCCTCCAGACATTTTTCAACCAAAAGCGCCCGTGAAGCGCGATCCCCCACAAATCTGCTGCAGCGTATTCTGACGCACGTATCCAGCCCCACTTCTGCCAATGCAGATGCACAGACGAGGGGGGGTGGCGGCATGTGCACCTGAGATCTGTGTCTGGGGTGGGCATGTACGACATCATGGCGCACGAAGCCTGCAGATCCTGGCACACGTCAATATTCACAGCCACCACCTCGCCCTTCCATGAACGCCAACCCCACAGGCTCCTCCAACTCCGCACGGCTCCAGGGCGGCTGGACGGCGGGCATCGTCGGCAAAGGGCTGTAGATAGCCTTCCAGAACCTTCTGGAGATCCCCGGCGGCCTCCAACAACTTCGGCATGTCCTGGAGAGGCGCCACTATGGCACGACACGGCCCTACATCGCTCCAGGGAGACCCAGAAAATGATCTCAAGATGCCTGCAATATGTTGACCACGGCCAGAGAAGAAGCCCCCACCATTGCCACAGGAAAGCCTGTAAATACATGCTCCAAACCGAGTGGCCTCGAGCGACAAACATCCATCACAAAGGGGACTGACCGCAGAGGGCCAAGCCCGCAAGAACGTATTCAGACCCGACCTGTAGGGCAAGGGCCATGGTGGCGGCTTCTGTGAAGGTCGAACCAAAATTAATGCTCTTGGGAGCCTCGTGTAGCCTCTTGGGCAATCTTGGGAGCGTCTGGTCCCGACCTTCCTGAATGCCTCTTCCATCGTGCGGGTCGTCGTGCACGGTCGGCGGCATGGGCCGTAAGGCCTTAGCAAGACGTATCTAGACCCGACGTCTAGGGCAAGGGCCATGGTGGCGGCTTCTCTGAGAGCTCGAACCATGAATGCATGGGACACCCAGGCGCGACGACACCGGTGGATCCTGGTGGTGGAGGGCAGCACGTGAGGTGGCAGAAACAAGACACAACGACCTTGCCGTATGCTGCTTTTTCACGCTGCCTGTCGCTTTTGACCTGTGCGCTACCTTAGATGCCCGGCTCAGATTACGGCGTGGGCAGCTCAGGGGCAAGGCTGGCATGCCGCAAGCTGGGCAGCCCGAAGGCAAGGCATAGCCTGGCCGCGGCACAAGTGACATGGCCATCGCCTGGAACTCGCTCACGATACGACCCGCAGAACCCGTCCCAACCATCGGCTTCCAGGCTGCAGCTTCCTCCACCGATACCCAACTGGGGCGTCACTGCAAACCATTTTGAAATCAACGTCAGGCTGTTGGCGTTGGCGTGTGCAGCGGCATTCCCCTGGGGCGCCAGAGACAGCTAATCAACGCCACCCCTTCAGCATAAACATGCAGGTAGGGCTGTCCTAGACATTACCCTGTGCCGTCCTTGACTGAAGTACAGCTATCCTGCAAATTTCTTACTTGCTGCTGGGGTGCCCACTACTGGGTACCCATCTCGGTGGCACTGAGCTTCTGATCTGCCGCTTGAGCTGGCACTTCAAAAACACCTCCAGACATCCGACGATGCGAACTGTACAGTTCGCGGCATCTCCAACCTCCCGACCGCTCCCGAGGGACATCTTTCCGTCCAGCGCCCCTTTTGACCGACCCGTGGTGCGGAAACGGCTCCAGAAGGCCGAAATGGGGCAGACCTCGAGGACATAGGGCGACGAGATCTATGCATATCCACTGCTCCTGGCCAGGCCAATCCTGGGCCCAGGAGCGGTGTATACGCCCTCCTGGCCTGGCCAGGGAGGCATATACACAGCTCCTGGGCCCAGGATGGGCCTGGCCAGGAGCAGTGGATATGTATAGATCTCGTCGCCCGAGGACAGACACAAATCACTCCATCGAAGCTCTGACATTGAAGCACGAGGCGAAGCTGTCTCGAGCTTTGGAGGCGTCTGCCCGCGCGACTGCTGCCCAGGGGGCCTCCACGACGGCCGGCACGTCGCCGGGGTCCACCGTGCCCGTGGCGCCGGGCCCGGAGGCAGCCCCCTGCACGGGGGAGGGGGCTGTGTTGCTGACGTGGGCGTGGGTGCGATCCTCGCTCGCCTGACCCCCCCCCCCGCCGCGAATCAGCTGCACGACGGACTTCGTTGCGTTCGGAGTTTTTGCGCAAAGTGGCCTCTGGTCGCGGGCCCGCTGGGCCGCAGGGGCGTACAAAAAACCAGTTCGGGATGAAACAGAATCCCGGGAACATGGTCGAGACATCAGGCGGCCCGTGTTTTTTTGTTACAACAATCCGCCGACCACTGTTCGCCGGGGGTTCAAATGCGTGTGATATGATTGGCTGTCCCCCTCCCACTTTCCTTTCACCGAAGGGGCGGAATCCGATTAGAAGGGGGGGCCGAGGGGAGGGACCGCATGGGGGGGGTCCCGAGCTCACCAAAGCTTCCATGGGCCTTTCAAAGTCTCCGTTTCTGCACTCTGTGGCCTCCAAGGTGCTTAAGAATCGATCTACGCTTGCCCAAGGAGGGTTCCAGCACGCACAGGGACCCTCGAAGACGACCAAGATAGCTTCAAAGCTGCCCAGGAGGCCTCAAAGACGCCCCGAGAGGGCTCTCAGACGACCCCCGAGATGGCCCCAAGAAGCAAGAATTGCTCAAATCCCGAGGGTTAACGCATCAATTTAACACCATCGCATTTTTGGACTGTTGCTGGCCTCTTCGGGCCTCCTGGAAGTTTCCTGGGCGCCTGCTGGCGGTCTCTGAGGTAATTTGGAGGCGGAAGGCTCGGAATGTCAGTTCGTGTTGCCTCTTCTTGACCCCTCTTGGGGCCCTGCTGGAACTCTCTTGGGCCATCTTGGGCGACTCTTGGGCCGTCTTGGAGCCCTCTTCGGCCCTCTTGGGGCCCTCCTGGAGGCTTCGTGGGCAATCTTGGGACGATCATAGGGCCTCTTGAGCCGTCTTGGTCGCTGTTGAGGCCCCCAGCAGGCAGAACGGAAACCCAACGCAAAATTCTAGGATTGCCATGTGGGGCCTATTGAGGGGCTCGAGGCAGGTTCCGTTCGACTTCGCAGAACAAGGATGTTGTCTCTCCCAATCCCCCCTCAACAGCTGAGTCCCGAATCCAAGTAGACACGCATCAAATCGTGCCTCGAAAATCGGCTTTGAAGCGCGACGAAGTCTGCAACACAAGTATAGAAACCCCGAACGGGATTGCGCCGAGTGTGGTCAAACTCGGCACGATCCCGCTTCGGTTCTGCGCACCATCTGAAGGAACGCAAACTCTCCCAGGCGGTTTCTCTCGAATTCAGATCCGAAGCGTTGTCTTCATTGTGCTTCACAAATGCATAGTGCGCAACTTTTCTCCGTGCGCTGCGTGGAAGGGCCCTAGCTACCACCAGGGACATCTGGATACCATCTCACTTGCCTCTATTCGGATTTCACTATATGTACGAGACCGCGCAAAAGGGGGGAGGGGGGGGAGGAGGCGGGGGGGGGGGGGCGAATCGGCCCAGTAATCGGCCCGGCGGTGACACGTGACCACACACTTGCTCGTCTTGGCTCAAGCTGCCCCCGCGCAGCCACTATGACAGGTGCGCCTGCGTAACCGGGATAGCGGGAGGGTGGCGAACTGCCGCTGCCTGTCCGCATTATCGGGCTGGCGCTGGAGCTTCTTTTCTGGCCGTGGGCCACTGCTACTTGAGCGTTGTTTACGCGGGTCACTGTGCGGTAGTAAACTTCTCGGAGACGCAGTGCCAGCGGGCCGACGGTGAGTAGGGGGGCAAGCAGAGCTGCGCAGTGGCAAAAGTGGCAGGCTGAAGGGACTGCTTCACGACCCCCCGCTTGCTTGACGTGCTGATGTTTCTTCGCATGAGTTGCAATGCGTGTCAAGTCGTCTGCCGCTAACGCTCCATGTGTAATCGATGCGCCTGAACTGAACTGGCACGCGCCGAAATTGTGCAGCCTTGCTCTGTGATCCGCCTGCGTTCTCTTCAAGGCTTCTCTGGAAGAAACATGAGATTTCGAATTTGCTTCGGCTTTCTGGCCTCGTGACTCGCCAGAACCCTGTCCAAATATTCACCACCATTGAGCGGGAGTCTCCATTCTAAGCGCTTAAAAACCACTCGCGACGTTGCGCAATTCTTCGGGGAGGTGGTCACGCTGATCGAATATGGTGAAAAGGATACGCTGGTGGGGCGTTCACTGGGACACAACGGGCTATAAGTCCACAGGCCAAAATGTTTTACTCTTGAGCTCGAGTGGCCATGCAGATGCCCGAACTGACGGTCGAGCTTGTCACTGTTATACGGGACTTGAATGGATGTGCGCCCGCTGTGACGCTCGAGCTGGTGGTGATGATGGTGGCCATGACGATGACGATGACCATGACGATGATGACGATGACGATGAAGATAATGATGACGACGGCGAGGATGATGATGACGACGAGGATGGTGGTGATGATGACGATGATGCTGATGATGTTGATTATGATGCAGATGATAAGGATGATGATGATGATGATGATGATGATGATGATGATGATGATGATGATGAGGCTGATGATGAGGCTGATGATGGTGATGATGATGGGAGAACCAGCCCCGCACAAATAATAGCGTTAGGTGTCACGCGCAGTGCCCCGTGGATCCAATTTCCCCTGGGCCAGGGGTATTACTCATGGCTAGATACTGATTCCAAGAAAATGAATGAATCCACTTGTTCTTCCCACACTGGAAATGTGATCCGCCAAGCCCAGAAATAGGATCCACAAGACTATGGCACACCCGACAAAGGATCCAACGGAATCCATTGGATTCTGCACAGTCTTATCACAAGAGGCAGGAACTTTCTGCCTGGGAATGCAGTGAGTGCTTCTCGATCAGATAACGAACGCCCATCTTTGCGTAGCTTCAGCCCTGCCTGAGAGGGTCCACAAGAGGCCCCACGGCTGCGTGTGCGTGTGCGTGTGTGCTTCTCGATAAGATAGCGAGTGCCGATCTCTGCGTCAACGCCCGCCCTCCCTGAGAGGGTCCCCAAGAGGCCCCACGTGTGTTCTTGTCGATCAGATGACGAATGCCGGACTCCGCGTTAGCTTCCGCCCTCCCTGAGAGGGGTCCCGAGAGGCCCCACAGGGCCTCACCCGCTGACTTCGTCCCTCCCCGGGAGGCTGGCCGCATGGCGCGGGCCCCTTGCGCCGAGGCGTCGGGGACCTGGGGCCCGGCGGGGACGATCGAGGCAGAGAGGGCGCCCCCTGGAGGAGGCCGAGAGCACGCAAGAACGAGGAGGGGACCTCGGCGGCCAGCCTGGGGAGGAAGGTGAGAGGGGGCGGGCCTTCTCAGAAGGCTCGGAAGCCGCCCCGCCTTCTGAGAAGTTGTCTCTGCAAGCTTTCCCCGGAGGCGCTGAAAACTTCTCCGAAGGCGCGGGGGCTCCTGAGAAGCCCCGCCGCCTTCTGAGAAGGCATTCCAGGAAGAAACTGACGCGTTGGCTACATTTCGGCGGCCAGCCTGGGGGGGAAATGAGAGGGGGCGGGCCTTCTCAGAAGGGGCTCGGAAGCCGCCCCGCCTTCTGAGAAGTTGTTTGGGCCTTCCCCGAAGACGCAGAAAACTTGTCAGAGCGCGCGGGAGCTTCTGAGAAGCCCCGCCACCTTCTCACTTCCCCCCCTCGCTCGCCGCCGAGTGGTGTCTTGCCAATTGCCACCCCATGGCACAGGAAGAAACTGACGCGTTGGATGCATTAGGTTCCCGAGCAAGGCGGCTCGCGCATAGGTCTGGGCTGAAGCACCCAAGATGCGAGCGCCAGCCGTCAGACCTGATGGCCGAAGATTGCGACGGGTGGCTTTGTGATTGTGCTTTGTTCACTGGATTAGCGTCGCGTGCAGCATACCGCTTGCAAAACAGTGGTGGATGAGGATGCTTTCTGTCTCGGGAACGTCGCCCCCCTCCCCGTCGGGCGACGTGAGCACGGAGGGGATTGAACGAGACGTCTCTGCGCCTCGCTGAACAGACATAACGCCTGGAAGCGAACTTGGGCCCCTGAGAACTGGCCTGGGCTGCTGCCCAGCAAATGGCGGTGTCATGAAAAGACGCTGCCTGGCTGGGTAGTTCCCAAGGGCCTGGGCTCATGACGCAGAACACATAGTTACATCATGATCTATAACAACTGAACCCAGTGTGAATGTAGACGCCATGCTTAGAATCGCCCAGGTCCAGCATGCAATGCGAAGCACGCTCAGGCAATCGAACAGTCGCAATTGCAGGCGGGATCGTTCCAGCAACACGTGACGCATCTCGCCATAAGCCAATCCGAGTCTGAATCAACTATGCACCTCATGTATTGTATGGCTGTGTGCAACCTCGGGCTCTCAAAGCGTCTCGTCATGTGTGACCCATCTCCGTAGATCCATCGTCGAAGCAAATTGTCCATACAACAATGCTAACATATTTGATTCGTGCATCCCCTGGTACGCAACGAATTGCCTTTCGAATTACTTCCGTCTGCCTGTTCCTCCGTCCGTCCGTCTGCCTTTCTCTCTCCCTCTCTCTCCCTCTCTCTCTCAATCTAATACTCTATATACATATATAGAATATAGATATGTGTGTACCTCAGTATGTTCGAATATGCATGCAGACGCAGGCGCGCCTTGCCCTGTGCAAGCCCTCACATGTTCGGACCAGTCACACGATTTCACTTAGTTTGTGAACCTCCGCCTGAAACTCCAACATCCAGAAGCAGAGTTCGCACGTGCATTACTGTGGATTTGCAAAGTGGCAAGAAAACACGCCTGATAATCAATGCCACCCGCATTGGATACGATTGGACTGTCTATGATGTCTTTGATTGAACATGCGGGGACACTGCAGTCAGACCATCTTGTAGCTGGCGCGTTTAAATTATCTGTTAAAAGCCACCCGCAGACATCTACAAGCTTGGTGGTAAGACTGTCGCGTCATCTCAGCCAGCTCTTCGGGGGGGTGGGACTCGAAGCACCCTTAGGGTGGGGCGCCGCGAGCACCTCGCAGCACCCACCAGTGATGCCGCGCGGAGGCTGAACACTTCGTTGCACCCAGCAGTCCAAAACCCTCATACCTTACCCCCTCTCCTCGCCATCGCTCGGACGTTCATTCCCCGTGCATTTGTCCGTTTCGTGCGTGCATTTTTGTCGCAAGATGGCCCGACATGGTCATCGATGGTCGCTGCCGATAGAAATGCGCACGTCCGAATGATGCCAAGTCTCCTGCAGACCTCCAACGTGTTCATTCCCCAGCGGTCCCGACACCTCCCAAGGGGGGCTGGTTGAGTGGTTCTACGTTGACGGCGGCGCTCATGCCCAGGAGGGGCCCCCCAGAGGTCGACCATTGATTGCAGATCATTCCGTCGTGTTCTTGTCCGCTGTGCGAAGGGTTCTGGCCCCCCTCCCCGTCCCCCAAACCCCTTCGCCCTTCCCCCCCCTCCTGCAGACCTCCAACTTGTTGATTCTCTGGAGGTCCCGACACCCCTCAAGGGGCTCTGATTGAGTGGTTGCATGTTGACGGCGGCACTCGGGCCCAGGAGGGGCCCTCCAGAGGTCGACACTTGCAGACCCTTCCGTCGTGTTCTTGTCCGCTGTGCGAAAAGTTCTGGCACCCCCTCCCCGCCCCCTCCCTCCCTCCTGTGCCAGGAATCGGCGGCGAGCGAGGGGGGAATTGAGAAGGAGAAAGCCTCATCAGAAGTCGGCGGGACTTCTCAGAAGCCCTCCAGCCTTCTGAGAAGTTTTCTCAACTTCTCAGAAGCCCCGGGGACTTCCGAGCCTTCTGAGAAGGCCCGCTCCCTCTCGCTTCCCCCCTGGGCGCGCCGCAGACCTGCGCCAGGAAGAGCAGGGGGAGTACTGGACCGCGTGGCAGCCGTGGGAAGGGCACCTCAGAGACAGGCAGCGCCAACCCCCGGCGACCCCTCCCTCCCCCACAGACCATCCTCGAGCCCAACTCGACTCCGCCGAGTGCAGGACTCATCCCAGCCATGGTCGTCGTCGCCGCCGCCGATCGAGGCTTCGAGGGTTGTTGTAAGGCAATTCCTGCCCCCTCCATGTCTCCAGGGGCCTCTTTGGGGGCCTCCGAACACCTCCAGAGCTCTGGGTGGTCGTCCCGCCTTCGGGCCAACCTCCAGCGCCGTTTCCCCTGTGCTCGTGCGACGAAGTCGCCGTTGGTCGCGTCCGGGCAGGTTCGAGCTTGCGAGGGGCGGGCGCGGAAGCATTGGACTGGAGAGGGTGAAGACGGGAGACGGAGGGATGCATGCCACAGCCTCCGCAGCTGCGGACAGGAGTGAGGGGGCGGGGGGGGGGCGGCGGCAGCCTGCGGGGCTCGAGCGCACATGTGGAGCAGCGTCGCACGTAGAGCCAGGTGTGGTGAAGCGAGTGTCAAGAAGCTGCAAACAAGGAAGCGCCGCGGGCGCTGATTCCCAACACGCTGCTTGCTCTTCCCGTTTTAGCAAGGGGGGGCCCGAGAGTGCCCCCTAAGATGGGTCCCCGAAGCATTTGACTAGATGCCGCGCGCGTGGCTCAAGAGGGCCACTGGATCAGAAACTTCCAAGACGATCCAGAACACCCGAGGAGGCCTGGGACAATCACAGTCCTTGAACCACTTCAGGTGTCCGGCACAAGATACCAAGATGGCCACAGCAATGCTCAAGATGGTCCAGAGAGCACCTAGAGAGTCCTCAAGCTGTCCAGGAAGGCTACAACAGCGGTCTAAGAGTCATTGCAACATCTTCCCAATCCCTCTCCACTTCTCTCTCTCTCTCTCTCCTCTGCCTCTCTAACTCCCTGGTCTCCTCGTGTTCCTCCTCTCTCTCCTCCTCCTCCTCCTCCTCCTCCTCCTCCTCCTTCACCTTCTCCTTCTCCTTCTCCTTCTCATTATCCTCCTCTTCCACCTCCTCCTCCTCCTCCTCCTCCCCGTGATCCCTCTCCTCCTCCCTGTCTTTCTCCCCCCAGCTCCTTTCAATGTTCCCTGGTCAGCGTATATAGGGGCCAACCACAGTCTCAAAAAGTCGAGCGGTCAGCGGACGTGGCGCCAGCCAGATAAGCCATAGCATCAAAGACTGTGGAGAGCCGGCGCTGGCCAGCCGACCCCCCTGCCTGCGCCAACGGCGGGCCAGCTCAGAGCTTGCTCTGGATGAGGTCGCCCACGTCCTGCAGATTCTTCAGCTGAGTCGTCTCCTCGTCCGGGAGCTCGATGTCGAAGCTCTCCTCCAGGGCCATCACCGTCTCCACGATGTCGAGTGAGTCGGCGCCCAACTCCGACAGTGTCGCGGCACCCACCACTTTCGACTTGTCCACCCCGAGCTGCTCCGAGACAACGTCCGCGATCTTCGCCATAGTCTCCTCCGTGGCCGTCGCCTGGAGCAGCACGAAGGGCGACCGCCGCTGAGCGCGGAGCCGCGGGCCGCCCGCACCCGCAAACGCGCAGCTTCGAAGGACAGCGCTGCACGCACCCGCGAGAAGGACAACCGCCAGCAGACCTGAGCTAACCAGCCTCGAACTTATCCCTACCCCCAAGACGGACAGGCCAAAAGGCGACGACAGCCTCAGGGATGCGCCCTCGAGAACTGAGGGAACCCTCAAGATCAGTATCGAGATAAGACGGTGCCAATCACAGGGATGGGGACATGTAGTTCCAGGCTGGTAATGAGCGTGCCATGGTGAGGCTCAGGCGGGCGAGCGTCCGAGAGGCCGGAGCTCATACACGTCCAGCGCCTGGGGTGGCCGATGTCCTGGGACACTGGCTCCCCGGGCGGCGGACATGCATTACCCCCAGCCTCGGGAAGCGGGCGGCCGGAAGCGAGGCTGCTCGAGCCAAGCTCTGCGCCACCGCCACCCCCTCCGCCGGCGTCGTGAAGAGGTCAGGGCGGGCATGGGGGCCGAGCTCCTGCCCGCTGCGAGCTGCGGGGGCAGTCCCAACCCCACCGCCAAAACGCGAGTCGTAGCCTTACCCTCAGCCTCAGGCTCAGTCTGGACGTGCCCCGCCCCAGCCCCATCCTCAGCCCCCTCCTCCCAGCCTGAGCCCTAGCTCCAGTCTCGTCGTCGCCCCCTGCCCCAGCCTCAGCCTTCAGCTTCAACCAGGTCGGCCTCAACATTACGCTCCACCTCAACCTCACCTCCGGCCCCAGCCGCGCCCCTGACGCCACCACATCGATAACCCCATGTTCAGTTCCCCTCAGCCCTGGCCCAGGCCCTAACCGCGGCCCCAGCCCCAGCCCCAGCCCAAGCGCCAACGGGAGCCTCAGCCTGAGCCCCAGCCTCACCCCCAGCCGCAGTCCCAGAACTCGGCCTCAACCTCATCCGCAACCTCGACTTTGCTCGGCCTCGATATCAGCGTCGTCTTCGACCCCAGCCCAAACGTCACTTGCGGCCTTGTGGCGCTTCTCCAGCGCGCCGCATTAGTCAGAGCGCGCGCTGGTCTGGCCACACTGCCCAACCGTGAGGTCCCAACGGTGCCAGCTCAATAGCAAGACGCTGGTGGAAATTTCCGTCTGATACGTCTCGTGAAATTAGCGAATCTGAGACTCGCTGGCGAGTAAAACTTTTGCGCGCCACGGGATGGCCCAACGGGGAAGAACCGATGTGGAAGCATAGAACAATGCACCAATCCACATCATGCCGTCCTCTTTGTTCAACGAGCACTTACTTGCGAACACCGTGTCCGAACCGCGATGACCGTGAGAACAGAAAACGTGCAGGAACTCCTGCTGGGGAACGTGGCAAGTGTGAACGGTTGCGCCCATGCTTGCGCACATGCTCGTGCCCCCACCCGTCCCCACCCCGTAAGCGCTCCTTCGCACCATGATCCAGCCGGAAGCCTGGAGCATAATGAACCGAGGGATCGGGAGTCCAGCGGAGCGGGCGTGGGCCACCTCATCAGTTTCACGACCTCACGGCTGCGACGAGGCCTGACGAAGTACGCCTGGGCAGATCCCTCGAATACCCATCCCCCCTCGCGGATTCCCCCGCCGGCGGGCCCCTGCGTGAGTCGGGGGCGAGCCCCAGGGGGAAATGAGAAGGGGCGGGCCATCTCAAAGGCACAGACCCCCCCGGCCTTCTGAGAATTTTTTCTAAACCTCCCCCGAAGGCATGGACAACTTCTCGGAAGGCGCGAGGGCTTCTGAGAAGCCCCGCTGCCTTCAGAGAAGGCCTTCTCCTCCTCGCTTGCCCCCCTCACTCGCCCCCGAAACCATCCTAAGACGAAGCCAGGACGAGGATAACATCGGGTGAAAATAAATCGAGTCTCTGAGATCCGGCCGCTCTGGAGGATGTCTCGGGCGCCGCGGCCTTCCAGGAGCGCTCCAGAACGCCCTGCGAGAGTTACAGAACGCTCTGGAACTGATTCACCCTCGTCCCAGCCCCGTCCGACATCCCCCCTCGCGGATTCACCCGCCGACGGGCCCCTGGGTCAGCCTCGCCACTGCGCGAGGATGCCGCGCTCCCTCGCTCTTGCTTCGGGGGAAGCGCGGCGGGGCACGGAGGCTGCGAAGGCCCCCTCTCCCGTCCTCCCGCCCTGCGCCGGCCAGGAGACTGGCTGACTCATCCGATGGCGACTCATCCGCTCCGGCTCATCCGATCCGCGGCGCGGGTGGACCGCGACCATGGATGGATTAGTCACCGGACGATTTAGCCCGGATGAATTTGTCACCGGATGGGTCAGCCGGGATGAATTAGGCACGGATGAGGTAGGCATCGGATTATCGAACCAGGCATAAGACAATGTAAAAATCAGATGAATGAACACTGGATGAATTTCGCACTGGATGAGTTTGGCACCGGACTTATTTCGCACTGGATGAGTTTGGCACCGGATGAGTTCGGTACCGGATGGAATTGACACTGCTGGATGAGTTTGGAATCGGATGAAATTGGTACCAAATGAGTTTGGCACCGAATGAAATTGGCACCAGATGAATTTGGCACCGGATGAATTTGGCGTCAGATGGGTTTGGCACCCGATGAATTTGGCACCAAGTGAATTTGGCACCCGATGAGTTTGGCACCGGAAGAGTTTGGCACCGCATCCGGTGCCCACCTCCTGCAGGAGGTGGGCACCGCAGGAGATTGGCAACATACGGAGTCGGCAACAGGATGAGTTTGGCACCAGGAAGAGTTCGGAAAAATGATGAGTTTGGAACACTTGGAATGGTGCGCTGGGAATACGGCACAGGAGAAGATCGGCCTGGGACGATTTTGGCAGTGTGTGCATCAGGCGTGCCGGGTGAGTTACGCTTACTCGGTCAACTGTGTGTATCTGGTGAGCTGGGGGCACGGGGCGACTTCAGGGTGTCAGGTGACTTTGCAATGACGGGTGAGTTCGGGCTTTGGCTGAGTTGCGTGTTTAGGTCAATTATACACCGCGAGTGCGTTCGGCACCGGGGTGAGCTCGGGCACTCAGTGAGCGGATCTGGGGTGGTGAGGAAAGGGGTGAATTCTGCAGGATCGAGTGAGGTGCATTTTCTTTCACCTCACTCGATCGTGCAAATGTGCTTGACTACAAAACGGTTTGTAGTCAAGCAGGTTTACAGGATCGAGTGAGGTGCAAACATTTTTGCACCGAAAGGGGTTTCGGATGCGAATCTGCTTTACTACATAATGGTTTGTAGTCAAGCAAATGCTCTAGTTAGTTGCCACTTGTTGAGTCAGGCGTTGTATGAATAGAGCACAAGATGAACTAGGCACTGGATGAGTTAGGCCTGAGCAAGGTTAGTGAGGGACCGCATGAATTAGTCAGCGTATGAGTTTGGCACCGGATGTTTTTGGCATCATATGATTTAAGCACTGGATGAGTCAGGTCTTCGACGTTGAGTCAGGCATCGGATGAGTCAATTTCCAGGGCTTTTCTGGTAGGGCTTCTTGGGGGCATCCTGGGACAAATGGGGACTGAGAATTTGCTTGATTACACAACGGTTTGTAGTGAAGCAAATTTTCAGTTACCTCTGAGTTTTTGTAGGATGTGTTTGAAGCCGATGTTTGGGGTCGCTGCCTGCCGAGGGTGTTCTGGAGGGGTGATTGGGTGCATCCTGGGGCAGAAGGGGGGTGAGAATCTGCTTGACTACAACACGGTTTGTAGTCAAGCAAATTGTGAGTTCCTTTCGAGTTATTTTTTGACGCAGTCAAGGATATCTGGAGAAAAAAAGAGCCAAATGAATTTGGGCACCGCCGGAAGAGTTAGGACACCAGATGAGCTAAGACACCGGATAAATTAGGGCACCAGATGCGGTAGTCACGGGATGAGTTTCGCACAGCGCACAAGATGAGTTAGGGCACCAGATGTTTTCGGCGCCGGATGAGGTAAGGCATCGGGTGAGATAGTCACTGACGGGTGAGTTAGTGCATCGGATGAGTTAGTGTCTGGACTTCCCTGGTTAACTTGAGATAGGGCGCCGGATGAACTCGGCACTCTGCAGAGGAGTTTGGGCTCTGGATGAGTTTGGCACCCGATGAGATAAGCATTGGATGCTGGATGAGTTAGGCTGGGATGTTGTCGAAGCCGACGTTGGGAGCTCGCTGCTTCCACAAGCTATTGAGGAAGGATCCTTGGGTGCGTTTGGGGCAAAAGAGAAATGCGAATTTGCTTGAAAGCAAAACGGTACGTAGTCAAGACAAATTTGAATTACTGAATTCTTGCTGCTTCTCGATGTTCTTCTGGAGGGCTTCTCGGGGGTATCCCGGGGCAGATGGGTGGCTAGGCTTCTTGGGGGCATCCTGGGGCAGATGGGGGGTGAGAATTTGCTTGACTACGAAACGGTTTGTAGTCAAGCAAATGTTCACTTACTTTTGAGTTATTGTGGGATGCTTTTGAAGCCAATTTTGGGGGTCGCTGTTTCCCGAGGGTGTTCTGGAGGGGAGGTCGGGTGCATCCTGGGGCAGAAGGGAGGTGAGAATTTGCTTGACTACAAAGCGGTTTGTTGTCAAGCTGATTGCGAATTCCTTTATTCTTTTTTTACGTTTTCAAGAATATCGAAAGAATAAGGGTACCAAATGTGTTTGGGCAGCGGATGAGTTAGGACACCGGATGAGTTAGGGCACCGGATGCTGTAGTCACCGAACGAGTTTCGCACAGGATGAGATAGGGCACCGGATGATTTCGGCACCGGATGAGGTAGGGCACCGGGTGAGTTAGTCACCGGATGAGTTAGGAAACGGATGAATTGATGATCGGATGAATGTGGCACTGGATGAGTCAGGCACAAAGCAAGGGATGAGTTCGTCACCGGGTGAGATAGTCACTGACGGGTGAGTTAGTCCATTGGGTGATTTGGTGTCTGGACTTCCCTGGTTAACTTGAGGTAGGGCGCTGGATGAATTCGGCACTCTGCAGAGGAGTTTAGGCTCTGGATGAGTTTGGCACCAGATGAGATAAGCATTGGATGCTGGATGAGCTAGGCTGGGATATTGTCGAAGCCGACGTTGGGAGCTCGCTGCTTCCACAAGCTGTTGAGGAAGGATCCTTGGGTGCGTTTGGGGCAGAAGAGAAATGCGAATTTGCTTGACTACAAAGTGGTTTGTAGTCGACGAATGTTTAATTACTTTTGAGTTCTTGTTTGGTGTTTTTGATGGCGACGTTCGGGGTTCGCTGCTTCTCGATGTTCTTCTGGAGGGCTTCTCGGGATTATCTTGGGGAAGATGGGTGGCTAGAATGTACTTGACTACAAAGTGGTTTGTAGTCAAGCAAATTTTGAGGTAGTTTCGAGGCATTGTTAGACGCTTCGAAGGTCACGTTCTGGATGGCTTCCTGGGGCCCGGGGCATATAGGGGGGCTGGAATTTGCTTGACTACAAAACGGTTTGTAGTCAAGCAAGTTTTGAGTTACTTTTGGGTTATCTGTGGATGTCTTTCCAGGCGATGTCGGGAGCTCGCTGCTTCTGGAGGGTTTCGTGATGGTATCCTGGGGAAGATGGGGGCTGTCAATTTGCTTGACTGCAAAAGTTTTTGAAACCAAGCATTTTCGGGCACGTCCGACAAGATGCTGGATGAGTGAGGTTGAATGAATTCAGGGTATCCGATGAGTGACGGAGTGGATGAATTCGGCACCAGGTTGAAGGTACTGGATGAGATACAACACGGATGAGTTCGGATACCGGAAGAGCTAGGGCATCGGATGAGGCAAGGCACCGGATGAGATAGTTACCTGACGAGTTCGCCACCGGATAAATTAGGACACTGCATGGAAACTGTGAGGCACCGGATAAATGAGGACACCGGGTGAGTTAGGGCATTAGATGAGTTGGGCAACCGGATGAATTAGTGAACGGATGAGTTTGGCACCCGATGAGTCAAGCAAAGGGCGCCGGATGAGTTCGTCACCGGGTCGGATGAGTTCGGCACTGGATGAAGTGAGCGATTTAGTTGGGCATCGGATGAGTCAGATACCGGATGAGCTTGACCGGATGAATTAGCCACCGGATGAATTACACTGGATGGGTTTGACGCCGGATGAGTTAGGCGCGGATGAGTTAGGCATCGGATGAATTTGACCAGATGAGTTTGACCTGATGAGTTAAGCACCGGATGAATCAGCCCGGTTTCGTCACACGGCCTGCGGGCGCAGCAGTGCGACAAGGTGCAGCTCTCGAGGAAGTGTGGAGGGGGAAGAGGGTTGATGAATTCAGTGCCCGTGCGCCTGCAATTAGTTATTGAGTCGGCTTCGCTGCAATCGACGCGCCGACAACCCGCACTAGTTGTAACCATACTACAATATACGTGCCAGCCGCATCCCTCACAATTAGAAGCCAATGAGCTGGGATATGGCGCAAGTCGGCGAAATAGCGACTTTACTGAGCCCACCCGCTAATGCAAGAGCAAATGCAGGCGAGCCCAGAATCGAATCGATAAGTCGGATGGGCGATCGAAATGGACTGGATCGGCGGAAATCGGCAGCCGAATCAGGAGGAGTCGGGTCGGCGGAAATCGGCAGGCTAGCAGGCCTCCATTAAGTAATCGGAATCCGAATCGGAATCCCAAGACGAATCGAATCGGAATCGGAATCGATCGAAACCGAACCGAATCGTATCGGAAGAACCGAAACGAGCCCTGGCAAGTGCATAGGTATACACTTTTGGAGGTCCACGCGGCTTTCGTGGGTCCGCGCTGGACCCCCCGCCCATGGCGCCAAGCGTGCCAGGTGCGGCGCCAGAGGCGCCCACACGGGGGGCCTTGCGCCGACCCGAGGAGTCCGCACGGTCTACCGAAAAGCGTTTGGGCATGCGATTTCTAATTGTTTTCGAGAGGGGGGGAGCGATGCCAACACGGACGTATGTCTATGCCGCCGCTTCTTCTTCCTATTCTTATTCTTAGTATTATTACCATTATTAGTATTACGATCCTTATTCTTATAATTCTTAGCATTCGCCTTCGCCATATGTTTCTTCCACGAAGGGCAACGATAAGGGGGGGACTGGCTCAGGGAGAGAACATCGAGCTGGCGATACATGGCCGATAGATCGATGATAAGCCCCCGACAACGAAGCCGTGCCTTCCTGGGCGGGATGGGCTATCAGGCCCGCATCGGTGAGCAACGAGCGATCGGGGGAAGATAAATCCCGCCCTGAGCAAATCCCCCCAACATGTTGTCCCCGAGAGAAGACAACGAGGCCGACACGGACGCCGAACATGTATGTCTATGCCGCTTTCTTTTTGTTTCGAGAGGCGAACCAGCACACCGCGCTTGAAGACGACCTGGGAACAGACCAGACCACACCATGCTCGTAAACAATGCGGCCGCAACACCTTCTCGACAACTGGAAAAGTAACGATTCGCGAATCAGCTTCGACCTCCCCCCTCTTGTGCGAGGCGGGATCTATCCAGATCTACCGCCCAGAGGAACAACCTGCTGGGACTCCAGCGGGCGAAAGATGTGGATACATGTTGGCTCCAGGGCCCCCGAACATATTCGTGTCCACCGCCTGCCAAGGTCCCCGAAGATCGATCCCCCAAGCGGTGGCTATGGATGAATCCACCACATCGGGTCCGAGGTGATGGCGGCGCCGAGCGGCGAGGCCGCCTTAGCGCCTCCTTCTCACCCCAGCGCTCACCCCCAGAGCTTGGTCTCCTCCTCCTCCTCATCATCATCCTCCTCGGCACCGTCATCGCCTCGGACGCGACCCTCGCTCGTTGAGCAGAGCGGAGTTTCTTTACAGCGCAGAGAAGCTGAATCCCCCCCCTCAAGCACTGCGAACGTCGCCGCGCCGACCGTTCTGAACGCGCCCAAGTACATGAAGCCGGCACCGCGGCAAACCTCACAGCAAACCTTTCCCCGCGGCGGCGTCTGCCCTGGTGGCCGGGGCGCCCTGGAAGGCCGCGCCGGCGAGGTATCACCACAACGAAGATGCGGTCCTCCCTCGGGCAGGGAGGGAGCAGCAGCAGCAGGGAGGCGGAGGCCGCGAGGCGGGCACCGAAGGCCCCAGGGCAGAGATGCGGGCCGCCGCTACGCAGGCGCCCGCCTGTGGCTGCGGCGCCTCGCCGCGAGGCTCCCGCATGCGCCGCCGCCGTGGGCTCGGCGCCTCCGGGAGGTGCGGGCGGGGGGCACGCTCTGGAGGGGGGGGGGGGAATGTTAGGGCTGGGGGGGGGGGATGGTAGGGTGGAATGCTAGGGGGTAGTGCTGGGGGGGGGGGAAACGTGAGGGGGGGGAACGTCAGGGGATAGGGAACGTTAGGAGCGGAACGTCACAGGGGATGGGGGGGGAACGTTCTGGGGGGAACGTTGGGGGGGAAGTTAGGAGGGGGTGGGGGGGGGGGGGGACGTCAGGGGGAGAACGTCCGGGGAGCGTGGGGGAACGTGGGTTGGGGGGGGACGCCAGGGTTGGGGGGGGCGCCGCTCCACAGCCCGCCCGCTGCTGCGGGCTCCCGCATGCGGGCTCCCGCGCCGCCTGCCCGGCTCTGCGCCTCTATGGGGGGTGTCCACCTTCAGGGGAGGAAAATGTTAGGGGGGGGGGAAGGTTGTTGGGGTTGGGGGGATGGAGGGTGGGGGGGCGCGGGGGTAATGCCAGGGGGGAACGTCAGGTGCGGGGGGCGTTGGGGGGGCCAAGGGGGGAGGGAGCGTGAGGGGAAGGGCGAATGGGGCGACGAGGCGATTCGAAGCTCGAAGGTTTCGCTCGTCTTCGTCTACTCCCTGTGGGTCCTTCCATCCTCGATGTGCGCTCTTCGGCAGCCGCGCCTCGCCGAGCGGCTGTCTGGACCGTCCCGCACACTGCCGCCAGAGACCCGACTTATGACCCAGGAGCGCCACGGACATCCTCCGGAGGAGAGGCTAATCGGCGGCGAGCGAGAGGTGAAAGAGAGAAGGGGCGGGCCTCCTCAGAGGACTCGGAAGTCCCCCATCCTTCTGAAGGGATTTCGAAGCCTTCCCCGAAGACACAGAAAACCTCTCACAAGGCGCGATGGCTTCAGAGAAGTCCTGCCTCCTTCTGAGAACACCTTCTCCTTCTCACTTCCCCCCTCGCTCACCGCCGACAAAGTCCAGACGAAGCAAGCCCATACGGTGACCGAGCACTCCGTATGGCCTCACCCCGTGTGAGCTTGGCCTCCGATCAGAAGAGGCGAACAAGTCTAGATGGCATGAGCAGGGGGTCCCAAAGGGCCCGTTTGGGGCCCTTTTCTTCCTCCCCTATTTTCGTTAAAGGCTTAACGACTTCTGCCGTCCTTCGACTCGCGCTGGAGCGGCCGCGAAGTGCTCGAACTTTCCCTGGAGATCTCTGGATTTACCTGGATTTACCCAGATTTATCTAGATTTACCTGGATTTACCTCGATTTATCTGCATTTACCTGGGTTTATCTGGCTCGATCCTCACAAGTCGATTGGCGAAAAGTCGACAAGCCCTAAGGGACATTTGGGTCACCCCCCCCTTGCCGCCGCCCCATTTGCACCGACCCCCCGGCTCTTCAGCCCCGATCGGCACCGCCTGGCCGCCGGCCAGCGCCCGGCGCCGCCGCCGGCCGACATCCGCTCCGCGGCTCTGCGGGCGGAGGCGCCGGCCGTGCCAGAGAGAGGGGGGGGGCGGCGCGCGGGAAGCGCGCGCAGGTTCCCGCCGCGGGAAGCGCCGCCCCTGCCCATCCCTCCCTTTCCTCCTCGGCTGGTCCACCCCCCCTGAGATCCTGCGGCGACTCAATTTTTCGAGCGTCGGGCGCTCTTGCTCGATCTCTCGGGCCCCGGGACCATCACAGGTCGATCCGGCTCCAAAAATGACGCAGGAAGATGGGGTCCGGGGGTCTGGTCGCGGTTTCTGTGATGTTGTAATTTTTGCTGTGCAGCGTCGGATCTCGAGGCCCCACCCCCTGCCTCGTCTCGGCGGCGAGCGAGGGAGGTACAAGGTGAGAAGGAGAAGGCCTTATCCAGAAGGAGGCAGGGGCTTCTCAGAACCCCTTTTGCGCCCTCTGAGAGGTCCTCTCTGTCTTCGGGGGCGGCTTCGAAAACCCTTCGGAAGGCGGGGGGACTTCCGAGCCTTCTGAGAAGGCCCGACCCTTCTTACTTCCCCCCGGGCCCGCCGCCGATCCTCATCCTAGCCACCCCTGAGGGGAAGAGGGCGACCTTCACTATCCGCATAGCCTGCGGGAAGCCATGTGGGGGTGGGGGCGATCTTTGCTTCCTTCTTCGTCCTTGCTCTGTCTTCCTCGCCCTCAGCCATCGATCTCTCTCTCTCTCTCTTTCTCTCTCTCTCTCTCTCTCTCTCTCTCTCTCCGCGCGTTGCTCCTCGTTCTCTCTGCCTTTTGGTGCTGATCCGCTCTGCAGATGATCTCCATGAGACCTTGGTGCTGAGGATGGGTTTCGGGCGGTGCCTCGCCTACCCTTTGCCTGTTCCCTTGTCTCCCCGGTTGTCGCTTGGAATCTGACGGTGGACGAGGCGGTCAGATTGGCAAAATGCTGGCCTATCGCAGTCATCCCCAGTTGGACTGCAATTGCACGGATATCTTCGCGCTGCCACTTTTCCTGCCTGATTTCGCCATGCCCTCTTTCCAGCGACCACGGCCCCATCCACCGAGAGGGCAAGACTTGAACAACAACCACCCCCCAAACGTCGTTTTTCGGCAGAAGGCATATTGATTCTGGTAGCTTGCCATCGCTCTGACGCCCACTACACGTGCATTTGTCGATTTCGTACGTTGTTTCGCAAGACGGTTGAGACCCTCCTCGGTGGTGCTGGCCGAGCCAGAAAGACACACGTCCGAGCGATGCCAATGTAAATACTACTACTAGTAGCAGTGAAATGTAGATCCGATTTCCCCAAGTCCCGCACCTTCCCCGGGACCACCCTCTCATCATGTGTCGCCTTCCGGCGGTCCCGGGGCCCGGCAAGGTCCCCCTGGCAATAAAACATCTAAAGGCCGTTCGTCGTGCTCTTTCCCACGACGCGATGGTGTCTGGGACCACGAGGACTGAGAACGCCGCTCTTGCGTGCGTGCCTATCCTCGGGCTCGAGCGTGGTCGACATGCGTTCAAACGCAGCGTGACTAGTGTGCCTCGTTGATTGCTGACCCGCAGGTGGTTAGTCGCTGCGGGAAAGGGCAAGCGCGCCTTTGGTTAAAAACAGGGCCACATGGAGATGCCCAAACGAAGAGCACTCCAGGGTGGAGAGGCCAGACACGAAGAGCAGCAAGGGCACCCCTCCAGCGCCAGGGTTGCTCTGACCCCTCGCGCCAGCGTCTTTACCTGTGCCCTTGCGATCTCTGGGCACGCAAAGGCGTTCCGCGCGGGGCACTCGCGCAACGCCGCCCTGCATCCGTACGTAAGGTCGCGGCAGGGGAGTCCGGACCGCGAGGCCGCGGGACCGCGCAGGGGGGAGGGGCAGGCGGCGGCAGGAGCGGCGCGGTGGGCGACGCGGCCCTTGAAGACGCTGCCGAAGCCGCCCTCGCCGAGCTTCTCGCGCAGTATGTAGTCGCCGGCCATCTGCCCGCGGGAGCGCCATCTTTACCTAACCATCCTGTGGTGTTGGGCCTTCGTTTTGAAGGCACAGCACCCCGCGTCTCCCTCGCTTCTCCTCCTCCCCTTTATTAATCCTCTACCGTCATCATCATCTTCAGCAGCAGCATCACCTCACAATCACGATACTAAAGAACAATAGCAGCACGAATAAGCATAACAATAATTCTAGTAGTGGACATCATCATCAGCAGCAGCATTATTATCGTCACCACAATTGTCATTCTCATCATCATAACCATCACCATCACCATCACCATCACCATCACCATCATCAGCATCATCAAATGTTTGACAGGATCAGCACCATCACCATTACCCTCACCGTCACCATGATCATCTTCATCATCATCAATCCACCATCAGCACCACCATGATCATCATCACCAGCATCCTCATCATCAACATCATCATCACCTCCTTCGTCATCATCATCATCATCATCATCATCGTCAGCGCCGTCGACAGTAACATCAGCATCATTGCCGTCAGTATCATCAACATCAATATCATCATCACCATCATCATCATCATCACCACCATCATCATCATCACCATCATCATCATCATCATCGTCATTATGATCGCTGTCATCATCACCATCATCGCCACCAATTTCGGCACACCCCTCTCACGCTTCGTGGCCCAATAAGCAGCTCCACCCAAGGCCCCAGCGGCACCGTCCACCTGCGTCTGTGCCTCTGATTTCGGCACACCCCTCACACGCTCCGTGGCCCAATAAGCAGCTCCACCCAAGGCCCCAGCGGCACCGTCCGCGTCCGCGCCACCCGGGTCGGCCATATGCAGCTTCACCCAAGGCTCCAATGCCACCGTCCACATGCGTCCGCGCCACCCATGTCGACGCACCTCGCATACGTTTCGTGGCCCCACAGGGAGCTCCATCCAAGGCCCCAGAGGCCCCGTCCACATGTGCCCGCGCAACCCATTTCGGCACACCCATCACACGCTCCGTGGCCCCACAGGGAGCTCCATCCAAGGCCCCAGAGGCACCGTCCACATGCGTCCGCGCCACCCATGTCGGCACACCCCTCAAACGTTTCGTGGCCCCGTAGGCAGCTCCACCTGAGGCCCAAATGGCACCGTCCACATGCGCCCGCGCCACCCATGTCGGCGCACCCCTTATGTGTTCTGTTGCCCCATAGGGAGCTCCACCCAAGGCCCCAACGGCACCGCATGCGGCCGCGCCACCCATTTCGACGCACCTCGCATACGTTTCGTGGTCCCATAGGGAGCTCCATCCAAGGCACCAGAGGCACCGTCCACATGCGGCCGCGCCACACATTTCGGCACACCCATCACACGCTTCGTGGCTCCATAGGCAGCTCCACCCAAGGCCCCAGTGGCACCGTCCACTTGAGTCCGCGCAACCCATTTCGGCACACCCATCACACGCTTCGTGGCTCCATAGGCAGCTCCACCTCAGGCCCCAGTGGCACCGTCCACATGGGTCCGCGCCATCAATTTCGGCACACCCCTCACACGCTCGGTAGCCCCATAAGGAACTAGGCAGCTCCACCCAAGGCCCCAATGGCACCGTCCACGT